TATCACTCTACCAGGTTGATTGATTCTAATGTAAAGCTTCAAACACATTGCAATACATGATACACACATGTATTGTTACTGCCAGAATCATGACACAATTATCAATTTCATCTGGCTTGAATCATGCCTTTGCATGATAACATGCCCACTACAAATATGAAATCTGGCTGTCCTGAATTTGGACAAAATTTCCCTTCATTTACAGCTACTCTACAGATGTTATTTGTTCATATATGTACATAAGTCTTCTCTATCTGGGCTGGACATCTTTGAAGACACTGTGTTCTATCCTATCATGCACTCAGTAAAAGTGGTTCATTGTCTGATAAGAACAGCAGCTTCCAATATTAATAACATACTGTTTCCAAAGGAACCAACTCTAAAACATGTACAAATCATGCATGGTTTGCATGAAATCAGTACCTTATAGACTTGTTCATTTCCTCACAAGTCTTTTTTGTTTAAAATCACTGTTATTCCATGTTATTCCACCTCCATGTGACACATAGCCTTCCTGAAGATGCTTCTCCAGGTGAATCTAACTGATACACAAACACTTCCTTCGCTCCAGGTAGAGTAATGCGGCTGGGCTTCCTGAAGATGCTTCTCCAGGTGAATCTAACTGACACATAAACACTTCCTTCGCTCCAGGTAGAGTAATGCGGCTGGGGGTTCAAACACTCATTACTTTTACATAGGAGGGAGCTCAGTGCCATAGCCTCAGTCCACACTAGTGACCTTAGCTAGCTGGACAATCGGTTCAAACAAAGAGTTAAAGGGAGGGTGGAGACAGTGGAATTATAGGGGGGTCACAAATCTAATCGCATATAAAACATGCCCAGCCATGTGCACCACACAGACAATGGGCTGAATGAGCAGTATGACATCTGGAAAGCATCTTTGATTTATAGCAACAAAAATTAACACAAAGAAGGGGCAATCCTAATGATTCCACTAGCTGCTTCTAAGTACCAACTTATTGGAATACCCCTTCATCTACAGCAGCGGTTCTCAACCTGTAGGTCACGAACCCTTTGGGGGTCGAACGACCCTTTCACAGGGGTCGCCTAAATACATCCTGCATATCAGATATTTACATTATGATTCATGACAGTAGCAAAATTACAGTTATGAAGTAGCAACGAAAATTATTTTATGGTTGGGGGTCACCACAACATGAGGAACTGTATTAAAGGGTCGCGGGTTTAGGAAGGTTGAGAACCACTGATCTACAGAGAAGGCTTACTTGGAAAGTATATTTTTTTCTTTCAGGACTTAAAGAGGGTAAATGGTTTGAATCAAGTTTGCGATGGCTGCCTGCATTGCCCTCAGTGCAGGCAATTTCTGATTTATGACCTTAGAGCTGATTATATAACCTCTGGTCCATCTTTCCCCCCACCTCCAAATTTTGGACCACTGCTGATCATTAAAATTCACAGCTGAAGTCTAATTCCCAAGCACACCTAATTGTCCCAGCTTCTCAATTATTCACTTCCCCTCCAATACGTCACTTCATCCCTGAATCTGAGATAGAGAATCTCAACTACCATTCAGACACTCCCATGGCTACAATACCATCAAGCATGCTAGGAAAATACCTCACCTGACTCAGCCCAGGCTTCAGCATCTCATGTTTCTGTGTCCCAGGTTCATAAAAGGTAATACAACATGTATCTATTCGGATGTTCTCATGAACCTGCAGTATACTGCTTGACCTGGGCACCTTGAGCCCTGGAGTTCATCTTATTTCCTGTGTTATCACTTAGGCATGAACCCAGAACTCCTAATTCATGTGAAATTCAGAAGCTGCCTAACTTTGTAGATATAAGTGGATAGCAGAAGTAGGACCACTTCTAAGAATTAATCCTCATTAACACCATCTTGGATTATTCTCTATTATGCCTTTCAATGCCATCTATAAAGGGGCATACGTGGTGCATTTTATTACTCTTTAAGGAGTAGTAGTCTTTGTCTGTGAAATAAGAATTACAATCCTCTTCTTTTCCATTTTAATCTTTGCTGCCAGGAATCTTAGAGCTAAATTAAATGCTCATTCTCAGAGAACATGTTGGCTGTATAATTGTGATCCCTTGCCACATTCCTCTCTCATGGTCTTTATCTTCTGCTTTTATTTTATCAACCTGATTGTACAACAATCTTTTACATCATAAGCCACTTCACTTCCTTTGAAAAAGCTAAGATATTAGCATTATTTTTCAAAGTAACTTCATTCGATGAGCAATACTAAAAAAGTAAAAAATCTCAAAGTCCAGATCTCAAATATCATCCTGTATAAACTCATCATGTATAAAATAAACCCCAATCCAAAACAAAGGGAGAAAATTGGGAATGCACAAGTTTTTAATTCAATACAATAATTTCGATTATAGAAATTATTTATGTGAGCATTTAGATGGTGAACAATTGAGGGTAATCACTATAGGCATGTTCTGTAACACTGAGAACTTTACAAGACTTAAATTATAGTAATAGGGTTGTTTAAATTACCATAATGAGAAAGATCTTACAAATCAAAATTTAAAATGTGTAACGTAACCAGAAAATGATTTAGAGGGTCCAGTTAAATTATTAAATTATTCTATAATAATCTTATCTGTTATACATGCTTCCACCTCCCCCTCCCCATCTTTTGCTCATTTACATTAGTTGTTTAGCTGTAATTAGACTTGAACTTTTCTGTTTCAATGAAGCTTTACATAAGAAAACATTATGGGGGGAGGGGGCAAAAAATCTTTCCAAAGGCAGTATGTAAAACTAAGCACTGTTTGATTTACATAGAATTATCCTCTCTCTCAGCCTGTGATGAAGACTTGGCTGTTGTGGAACTCAAATCTGTATGTATTGCCTTTTGATTTATAGCAGATGACCTGGCATCATCTAAACAGAATTTACTGTGCCATGTGCCTCATGCCCTGGAAATCAATAGCTGGAATACAGAGGCGTCTTAATTAGACAGAACAAGGGTAGCGAGATCTGCCTCCTTCTTTCCTTTATCGTTAAAATGGCAAGTATTACAAAGCAGTGCTTGTTTGGAAGTCGCTGTGGAGCAGAGATCTATTAGTTCAAGTTGGGAGTTATTAAGTGAGAGTCGCCATCAATGGAATAAAAAATGAAGCACAATGCTGTATAAACAATAGCCTGTGAGGCGTGGGACATGAACTTGTTAAAATATTGACTGGTGCATTTCTACAGCACCTGTGTATTATCATGGGCTTGAAGAGTTGAACAGGGTATTAAATTACGACTGAACACAGAGGAGTTATCCATTCTCCCTACCCTGTTCCTCTAAACCAGTGCTGCACACATGCCTGGTATTAGCCACAATGAGAGGAATTACCTGAAAGTTCAACTATGGTCTCTCTTTGCAACACATCTGAAAATTAAGAATTATTATAAAAGCCTCATAATGAAGAAGCTATCTTATCCATCACTATTCAAAGCAATTATCAACCTTTTTCATCTCATGGCACACATAAACTAATTACTAAAATTCCACAGCACACTAAAAATATTTTTTGCATATCTGAAAAAAATAGATATAATTTTGATTCATTCACAGTAAATAGCTACTATTGTCTTGGCTATTGTCATTTTCTTATTTTTTCTTATTTGACAATCTAAGGGAAAAGAGGTCAGTGCCCCTGACTAAACAGCCAGGTATTGCGTGTTTTAAAAATTCTTGTGGCTCACCAGTAGAAAATTGCTGACTGATCATGTCCAAATACCAGTAGCAAATTAAAGATAAGATCCACAGAGTTTGCTCATGAAAATGTAAGGGCAACTTCTCAAATTTGATTCTGCCTGGGAGAATCTCAAAAATTATTTTCTTGCTTTTGCAAATGGTGAAGTGAAATATAGAAATGAAAGTACACTGTCCCTCACAGAGTGCCCATATCTGGTCCCAGGACTGTAACTGCAGGAGTTCATGTTTTATCCATGGAACTGAATAGATTTTAAATAACAAGTTGAACTTCACCTAGCCCTGTGTTAACTATAACCGAAGACTAAATTTCCATGAAGGCAATTCCAGAATGTCAGCTGAGCTGAATCATCTGGAATGGCTGAGGGCATTTCCCCAAACCTGAAAAGGATGCATAAAATGATTGCTTGCTGCCAGACAGCTAAGGGCATCTCAATCTACATGTTATTGCCTCCTGCTGGCCAAACACCTGAACAGCCGTAGGCAATTCCCCAATCTGACAATGGATTCTATATACAAACCCTGGCCTTTGATGTATATGTCTACCTTGCCTTAGGACAAAATTGTGTGAATAAATAGACAAGGAGAACTTAGTTCCTTCAGCTAAGTTTTCTCTGACTCCCCATAATGCCTTTCAAAATTATGTTTCGTCTCTGGACTCTTATTTAATTTACGCACAGTGCCTTCTCCAGGTTCCCGAACCCTTCTTGATGCTGGAATAAGACCCCCGGCATTACTAAATGATTCTGACTGTGCTGGAATTAAATCTAAGCAGAGCTACTTTTTCAGAATCTTCCTTTCAAATTCAAGTTATATCTTTTTAAAGGGAAGGAGCTCATTGATTTTTGTTTTTTAACTACTCCTAAATGTTCCCTCTAAGTCATGAGTAAGAGCTTACTGGATGATTAGATTCACACACACTCTCTCTCTATCTTAAAATAGAATTATGATGACCAGATAAATTTATCCTCCTGGCTGGCCTTTCACACAATATGCCAATAGGCCACAAAAACCACCACAATGTACTGTAAGATCCTTTGGAAAGCCATCGGGGAAGAAACAGGCTCAATAAAGCCAAGACTATGTGAGGTGCAAATGAAGTTTCAGGTGCAAATGAAGGTCCAAATTCAATAGGATGGCTTGGCAAGAAGACAAGGTCAAAACTGTTGGGGAATTAGCCAATCAGACGCAACAGAAGCGAGCACAGGAGAAAACCAAGTGTTCCTGGTGCAGGGAGGCATGCACCCTTTGCAGCAAGAAGCTCAGGCTGTAACCCTACCTGGAGAACTGCTGCTGCAGGCCGCGCATCTGAATCCGGCTGCGCTCAGACTCCAGTGTTACCTCCTGCAACCGCTTCTCACTCTGAAGACGTAAGTGTCTCTCCTCTTCCAATTCATGTATCAGCTTCTCATGCTATAAAAGGCGCAAAGGAAATGACTTTTAAGAAGGTGTTTCTTAAATATTATGACAAAAAATAATTAGTAATAGCTGTCAATTACTAAGTGCTAACTTGGATTCTATATATAATTAATTAATTCCGTCCTCCTTACAACCCCATGAAGTAGGTTCTATCATTAATATCTTATTATAGACAAGGAAACCAAGGATCAGAAACATCTAAGTAATTTGTCATTAAAAAACAGAGGATAACAGGTTTTCAATCCTGGCTGATCTGACTCTAATGCTTAAATAATTTCCACTGAACCAGGTGGCTTCCTGTGCAGATATGAAGATCTATGACCCAATAATCCCATCAAATGCATAATAATTCAAGTGATAATGACTGAGATCATTAATACTTGTCCAGAATTATTTCATCTCTTCACTCTCTGGTCTATGCTTTAAAGGGAACATTACTGTGTTTATAGAATTGACAAGAATTCCAAGTTGATTACACCCTGGAGCTCATGAGAACAGGTTAAAGAATATTTTTATTTTGTCCAATTAGGTTTTCACAGATAAAATGAGGCTAAACTACCCACTGTATTTATAATCCCGGAAAAACAGCTCAGCTCACAAATGGGCATCAAAAATTAAAAGAGGGATTGGATGACTCAGAATAGATTTTCAGCAAAAAATCATTCCTGGAACTGGTAAAAAGCACACAAGATCAGATCCTCTTGACATTACCAACTGAACCATGCTAATGTTTTTGTTTTGTTGTTGTTCCTGTTTTGTTTTGTTTTTGTTTTGTTTTTTTAGTATGCCATGCTATTATAGTTACTGTTGGTATTAATTTAAGCACTTTGCATAGAGAATACATATTCTTTGATAAAAACTACTCAATGACCTAAATTCTTAAAGGAAAATAAGAGAAGCAGGGACCTTAGTCTCCAAATATACTACGCACTAGGATAACTTTGTGCCATGGATGAAACAGGATCCATTGAATGGGGCATATTCACAGGGAGCAATAGCAAAGATAGACTTTCTCCAGCTCTGACTTATGGGAAAGGGTTCCCCTGAGGACCATGAAGAACATTAGGTCATAATCTGGAAATGAAGGTGCTCTGAGAATAGACCCCACCTCTGCAGCTTGAACCATGCTTTTCCTTCTGCTTATAAAGCCCTCCAAGTACTGTCTCTATTCAAACCCAGGGTTCCTTCCAGTTCTCCTCTAGAACTTACCACTTCACTGTTCTTTCCCAACACTGGGTTTCAACAGCACCTCTTATCTTTACCAACCTCTTGGCCCTCACTTATTTTTTCTATTATTATGAATTATAATTCTCTAACTAGATGAACACTTGCTTGAGGTTAGGATTATGTTTACTGTGCATTTAAATATTTATTTAGCATAGTGCCCAATGCATATTAGCACTGGAAATATTTGCTTAATGGTTATGGAGCTGGACTTTTGCTAAGTCAGGGTTGCAATTTCTATGTCCTTAACTCTTCTAAGGTCCATTTTTAACTACCACAATCAGTTACTTCTATTGGAAAAAGTAAAATAAAAATCTAATCTATATTCTGTCACTTTTCAGCAGCTTTGAAAAGGAAGAAACACATGGTAATGGAAGAGATAGGTACTAATTAATGTCAAAGCACTGTGGAAATAGTTAAAGTGGCAAATTTTACTTTTACATATATTTAATCGTCATAAAAATAAATTAAAATATAAATGCTTTACTCGATTATTACACACAATCAACATTACTCTCTGTATAGACACACTGGACTAATAGGAACATGAATATGTTACCTATATTATAGAATTTGGAAGATTGTGCTTTAATTCCAGTAATAGGCAATAAAAATGGTGTATCTTCAATTATTCAAAAGCATATCCTATAAACAATGTGAAGTTTTGCAGAGAAACAGCACGTTTCCTTCTAAAGTAAAGAATCTTACATAGATTCACTCCCCACTATATTGAAGAACCCCAAGCTCTATAAGCAGAGGTTTTACATATGGATAATCATTCTCTTAAATTTGTTAATGCCTTTTCAAATGATACCTGTATAACACAGAAAAGGTTCTAGGAAATTCTAAGACTGATGGAGGCAAAAGTTGTTTATTAAAATATATTTTCTTCAAAAGGAGTATGTTTCAGTTAAACCACCAAAGCTTGACAATAAGCCACATCTACTTTCCAAATCTGGAAAAACATTCCTACCTAAATTATAAAACATGGCTAACAGTAGCAAGAGGGTAAATGGATTGGCCAGGATATATTTATTTATTTATTTTTGTATTAGCTTTTCCTGGGTGTAAACTAACTTCTCGTCAAAGCAAGTTTGGCTTTCTCTCACAGGTTTACACTGCATCTTTTATAGCAGGGAGCATGAAGGGGAGGGAGAGATGGAGAATGGTTGGGTATTATTGATATGGTGCCACTGGGTACTGAAGAGCGGTAAGTAAAGACATTGCCACAGAAACCTGGGTTGCAATATCTGCAGCAACATCACTCTTTCCATTGACCCGCTGGGCTGGGCTGGCTTTGAGAAGCCATCTGAAGAGAGCTGTAAGTAGTTTTCAAAACTGATTGGGCCTCACGTTTGTATTTCTCCTTGTTTCATTTAGCAAGATGGCGTCTTCTGTTTCTCCTCCTCGGCTTTTCTTAACCTGACACCTAAATCGCTACCCCAGGAACACAAACGCAGGCTTCGGGCTGAGTCTGAGGAGAGACATTAAACAGGAATCCACAGGCAGGTCGGCGAGCCACACCCTCCTCCTCCCCTTCAGTGACATGGACTTCATTTACTTCCACTCAAAAGGAAGGTTTGCACAGTTTCCTCAGCAAAAGCTGACTCCAAGTGTGTGAACGTCCCACCCTGTGTTCTTCTCTAGTTTCTGTCTCTAACTCGGACCTAGTTCTATAAGAAAAGTCTTGAATTTGGAGAGCATATTACATTTTGTAAAATGTTCTCATCTTCATTGCTGTATCCAGTCCTCGGAACAACTTGGCAAAGTCAGTTGTTCTCAACAGCATTGAAAGATTTTTAAAACTAGGATCGAGAGAGAGAAGGCGCTTGCCGGGGTTAGAAATGACAGTTCTGGGACCAGAACCACATTTTCCAGGCTCCACGTCCCCATTTGCCCCCCTTCTATGGTCAATCCTAACACTTATGTTAAAGGTGCACATTTGTCCCAATGAAGTTGATATACTGGGAAAATCTGAGTATCACACAAATCTCACATTTGCTTGAGCCCAATTTTATTCATGAGGAACATGAGTCAACACAGAAAACTGCATCCCACTCAACCTAACACAGAAATAAATACACAAATCACCCACATCTCAGAGACCGACAGGCCCCTCAGTCCTCCCAGCACGTGGTGAGGCACTGTCACCCGCAGATGGAGGTACAGCTTGCCCTAGTTCCAGCCTTCCTCCTGCCGCTTCACCGTGGCTCAGCCTGCCATGGAGCACTCCCACGAGCACACTGCATGCTTTCTCAGGGTGAAGTGCATAGTTAGTGTATCCCTTCTGTGTTTCTTAGTCAATTAACACATGCAAAATTAGCTGCCCTTTTTATTAGATTTTTTTTAATGCATCACTGACAAAACTTCATTTCCCCACAAGCCCTGTGCAGGGATCTTTAGGAACGCATCTGTCATGTGATAGCAGAGCTGACTACCTCATTCTGGAAAAAAGAAATCTGAAACAAGGGTAGGATTCCAAAGTTCAAGTCTTTGACACCCCAGTAGATCTTGTCTGTATCTCATAGCCTTCATATAGACCTTAAACTTCCTCCAATTTCAGTACTATCCTCTGTTTAAACCTCCAGGGAAGATGACTCTATAATCTCCCTCGGTAATCCATGCTATTTTTTCTAAACTCCTTTCCTGACAATTTTCTAAGTCTTGCTTAAATTTTTTCAAGTATCAAAAAGCCATCTTCATATTTCCAGGAGATACAGAAAAATCTACAGTTTTGACATTATTTTCTAATTTAATAGAAAGCTCTGCTTAGGAATGGAGCTATGGACACACCCACATGGACTTATTCATTCGCTCAGACCACACCTGTTTACTGTGCCAGAAGCTGGATCAGAGCAGGAGATCAGCAAGGAGCCAAATAGACATGGTTTCTGACTGCAGGAGACCTTCACACAAGCAGAGAGGGTCAGTGCTAAACAGCCACAAAGATAAACATATCAGTAAAAACTAATAGAGAATTCGGGTTTGCCAAAAGAAGATGCCAAGAGGAACTGGTTCTGTGTTAAGGGAAGGCTTCTTCAGGGAATTCACATAGAAACCAAGGCCTCTGTGATGATGGGAGTAATCAGGTGAAGAGGAGGGCCCAGCGTTAGGCAGGGGGAGCAGCAGGTGGGAGGTCTTTAGTCACATATGGAAGAACAAAGAGACCAGTGTGCCTGGAGCCTGGGGAGCAAGGAGACGGGGGCGGCATATGACAAAGGTGAGAGAGCAAGAGCGAGGCCATGGCGCACCATGAAGGCCATATGAAGGATGTGGCATTGTACGCTGAGGAAAATAGTAACTCATGACCAAGGTTTAATCAAGTGAGTGATAGGACCTGATAAAGATTTTGCAAAGATCATCTGACTACTGTGTAGAAAAAGAAGTGAATGAAGAAGCTAAATAGCAGGATGGGAAACTATTTAACTAGAGAATGGTGAATGGTACCAGCTTCTGGTTTAGAGTCCACTGTTTGATAGTCAAGGGGTTTTGGACAAGCCCCCTAACCTAAAACTTCACTGTTTAAGCTAGTTTCCTCTATAAATCAGGGAGAGTAAAAGTGCCCAAAACAGTTCCATAGTATCGCCATGAGGAATGACTAAAATAATACAAAGTAAGCATTATAACAACTTGAAAGTCCCGTATAAGAATAAGGTATGGCTAACTGGGATTATATAGCTTATATTGTCTAATATAGTTTAGCTACTTTTGATCAATTCTATACAGAATTTAGTCTTTAATGATCAGTCCATGTTAAATAAATACTGTAG